GAAGTATATATAAATGTATCAGTATATTTAGATGTATGTATGTCGCTGGCGTGTGACGCATTGCTCTAGATGTGTAGATAGATATATATATATGTACATATATATGTATATATATATATGTATATATATATATATATATATATATATATAGATATATATATATATATATATATATATATATATATATATATATATATATATATATATATATATATATATATATATATATATATATATATATATATATATATATATATAATATATAGGGTTAAATACAAAAACACTCTTATTCTATGGACTTTGTATCATATACCATCTGTATTACATATAAATAAAAGAAACCCCTCACATTAATTTTGTCCCCAAAATATGACGAAAATACCCCTACTCAAGCATATATATATATATATATATATATATATATATATATATATATATATATGTGTGTGCAACATGTCAAATACTAAAGTTTTAAATTTTGACTTTTTCAATCACTCCATCCACACTGATGTTTTAGTGATGAACACGAAAATGTAATTTTGTTTTTTATATCTTGTAAACAAGGATTAAATTACCAAAAAATTCCTCGTGTTTGGGTACTTACAATTAGCCTCTCAACTATGAATCTTCTTATATGTCAATCTTTATAGTGTCACATTCGACAGAATTTTCTAGATTTCGGAGAATGTTCTTTAGTTTGTGCTCGTTTTGTGAAAAAAATACAGTTTCTGATGTTCCACAATCTGATATTTACAAACCAAACAGACACATCTTATGATCATCTTGTTTCAAAATGTGGAGTAAAAATGGTAGAAACTAGAGAATATTCCACATAATCTAGAAGATTCCATTAAAGGAAGAAGATTTATAGTTGATGAATGTGATTGTAGTTACCCAAACATAAAGGACTTTTTTATAATTTCACCTCATCTCAGGGAGGTGCGGCATAATTTACTCTATATTATATATTACACACACCAATTTATTCGAAATTTTGTTACGGTCCTCAAATTGCGATATCACATCAATATTTTTTTTGTAACAGCTTACCTAAACACATTATTTTCTTCATATATTCCTAATCCCATTATCCAAAAGTAAATAATTTCTCGCAAGATGATGACAATATATATTTATTTATTTATATAAATATTTATTTTTTGGGTTTCCTCTCTTAATCTCTATTGATTCTTCGTGCAATCGAAAAGGTAACAAACGTCATTTTTTAATATATATATCAATAAAGCTTGTCCACAAACATGACATTTTGAAAGTGATAGCACTAAAATTATTATTACTAATTGTGTATAATATATAAGAGATCATATATATTATGTATTCATAATGAATCGTCACTTAATATTCTATTAATTATTCGAGTAAATTACGCTTGAAAATGAAAAACATCCCCATCTCCATCTTCATCTCCATGCGTTACAAACAAATTAAAAAAGAAAAAAAAAATCGAAGTGGCTTATCGATCATTTTCCAATGAAAGTCACCATTATTCGAAAACAATCCCTTTGTACATACGAAAGATCTATAATTCACGTAGCTATTTAAGCTTCTTAAAGGTTATAAACTAACTCGTATAATTCAAAGGATTACGTCCGTCCATTTTTTGACAACGAAAGTGAGCATACATTAAATCGGATTTCCGCGTAACGATCTTTTTCCGAAATTTATTAATTACTATTAGGGGCAACTAATTTTGCAAGAAAAAGAAGCTTCTGGAAGCCTCTTTCATGACCTAAATCTTCATGCAAACTATTGGTTGGCGTTGCATGCACGATTTGAAGAATTATGTTATTTTTTTCCAAAAAGAAAATTAAAAAATATATATATCGATGTCCATGCATGAATAAATCAAAATAAAAATAAAAAAGTTATGAATTAATGAAAGTGGCTTAGCCTTGATCGGGAAGAAACGTCACCGTATTAAAAAAAAAAAAAAAAAAAAAAAAAAAAAAAAAAAAAAAACTTTTAGTACACACGAAGAGCTTTAATTCACGTAGCTATTAAAGGTTCTTAAAGGTCATAAATCATAAATTTTCAATTTTGAAAGGATTGGTCCATTTCTTGACAACGAAAGTAATTAAACAAAAATAATTAGTTCAGATTTCAGCGTGTGGTTGCAGTGTTAAACTCTTTTACCTAACTCTATTAATTTAGGATTTATAAACTATTTCATTTGCTACAAAGGGTAGTTTACAGAATTCGTTCTATCTCAAAAGTATTATTTTTATAATTTACCCTATTAATAAATAATAGGATAAATTACGGCTACCACGTCAAATTATGTAAAAAAAACTCATCATCATGTTTGGGTTATTAAAACTATGAATCAACTAAGAATCTTCTTTCACGACTATTTTTATGGTGTCAACTTTAACAGAATCTTTTGATTCCATGGAATGTACGTTCTCTATTTTGTATTCGTTTGTGCAAAAATGCAGTTTCTGATACACCACAATCTGATATTTACAAGCCAAGAGACATATCTTATGATCATCTTGTTTCAAGATGTAGAGCTCGAGTGACATAAAATGGGTACAAAATGGAGAATATTTTACATAAAAATTCAACTAAATTTGATACCGTAAAGATGAACGTGTATGAAGATTCATAATTAAGGAGATGGTTGTAATTTTTCAAACATGCGGGATTATTTTATAATTAGACATTAGTTCAAGGGCGCCCGTGATTTACCCTAAATATAATAATAATCGTCCTAAATTGACTAGACTATAACTATGTGACCGTCGCCTTTAATTATTGTAAAAACTGTTCCGGTGAACCAACAACCAAGCCGTACAAATTTAAAGGGGCTTGCTATTATCAGTACGATTTTTTCCAGCTACAGTGCGAAATAATTCATTTGTCAAAAAACACTTTAACCTTTTACAAAATCCTCTCAACCTCCAAATATTTCGACTTTCGTAGATCGTGATTTGTTTTCGTAAAAATCAGTTAAAACCCAACGATTATCAAGATGGCCAACATCGATCCCGTAAATGAGGTAAAAAAATACGTTTTAGTGTGATTTTTTTCGATTTTCAATCGTTTCGTGTAGAATATCACGAAATTATTCAAGTCATTTCGTGGTGTTTTGCACGAAATGAACACTTTATTCGTGTTTTCCAGTCATTTCGTGTACAATACTACGAAATTATACCTATTATTTCGTGTAAAGTCACACGAAATAGCAGTAAAACTGTTTTGTTATTCATTTCGTGCAGTACTACACGAAATGTATACATATATTTCGTGTAATTGTACACGAAATACCTAGTATGGTTATTAAATTTTTTTGTGCAAGTATCTAACCTTTTTTTTGTATTTACGCAGCCATATGACGACAATTTGTATTTTGATCCCTCGGTTTTGGATCAAAATGAATATGAAGATTTCTCTCACTTCTTCCAAGTTGATATTGTGTTCGGCAGTAGGGAAGAATTAATCAACTGGGCGAAAGAAACTGCAGTTAGTCATTGTCACCGTTTGATTTGTCAGTCTAGAAGGGAGAATGCACAGTACATGACGTGTGACAAATACGGACATGGCCGACAAACGAATATCGATATGGAAGATCCTAGAAACACAGGAACAAAAAAATGTGGTTGACTGTCAGCGATGGCAGGCATAGTCATCGTCCGGCTTTGTTTCCTCACGGACAAGGTACGACTAGTCGTATAACTCCACAACAGAAAGCAAGAATTAAAGAATTGCGAAATTCTCACGTGAAGCCAATGTTGATCATGGATAGACTGAGGAAAGATGATCCGACGATACAAACCTCTATGAAGCATGTTTACAATGAGTTGGCCAAGATTAAATCTGAGGAAATGGAGGGCATGACTGTTATTCAGTTTATGATGCATAACTTTCAAAAAGGCGAGTATCGATATTGGCATCGCGTCGATAGTGAAACGAGCAACACGATTACAGATATTATGTTTGCATGTCCCGAATTTATTAAGTTATTACGGTTGTTCCCGTATGTTATATTGATGGACTGCACATACAAAACCAATAAGTAAGTAAAAATTACGATCGTTTAAATTACGATTATTGTGTTTTAATGTCTTGTATTGTTTAAATAAGTAAAACAACATTGTTGTAGGTATGGAATGCCTCTTTTGGAAATAATTGGGATAACTCCAGTTGGGAGAAATTTTACAATTGCTGTTGCATTTATGTCGCATGAAGATGCAGACACCTACGAGTGGACTTTGAATTGTTTGAAAGAGTTGATAGATGGTGTCGAACCTGATGCGATCTTGACAGACAGAGAGTTGGGTCTTTTGAAAGCACTGCCAAATGTCTTCCCATTTTCGTATCATATGTTGTGTATATTCCATATAAACAGAAATGTTGAGGCAAATGCGACGAAATTTATGAGAGGCAACAAGGACCAAGGTCTAATATTCCGACGTGTGTTGTGGGCTAAACTGGTGAAATCAGAAACCGAAGAAGAGTATCATTACAATTACAATGAAATTGTTGGACGGTATGCAGGGTATCCTAGGCTGATACAATATTTGAATGATACGTGGTTGATATACAAGGAGAAGTTTGTTCGAGCCTATACTCGCAATATGTATCATTTTGGCAACACGAGCACCAACAGGTATTACATGTTTTAGTTATTTAAATGATAAAAGATATTATATAAAAATAATATTTATTTTGTAATTTGATTGTCGTTGTATGCTCTGATTGTTGTTGTAATTGGATAGGGTGGAGAGTGCTCATTCTTCAGCGAAGGGTTGGTTAAATGCTTCGACCGGAGGTCTGGATAGCGTGCAAGGCAAACTTCGGGACCAAGTTTATATCCAAATTAGTGAGCTGAAGTGCGATTTTTCATTATCATCCAAGATAAGGAAGCATACTGCAGCATGGCCGTGTTTTCAGGGTTTGATTTGTTATGTTACGCATCTGGCATTAGAGAAATTGGATGAAGAGATGGAGTCCCCGGCGATGCAAGATCCGAGTATTTGACACACTATCTTTGGAATACTCATGGGCTCCCATGCGCGTGCAAAATTGTGCAGAAAATGGAAGATAATGACACGTTCGTCATTTCAGACTTGCATCCATTCTGGAGTACCATGGCAGTTGAGCCTTCGGAGCTACCTGAGTATCAAGTAAACCGCGAGGAGATTGTGGATAGACAGATTGATGACCTGAATTGCAATTTGAAGAAGATGAATTACACGAGTAAGATAAATGCCGTGGCCTCATTGCGTGGCATCGTTTATCCGTCTATATCGCATCTGTCCGAGCCATCATTTGTTAAGACCAAAGGACGACCAAAGAATAACTCGACAAAGAGAGACCCTTCTGGATGGCAGTATCATATTGATGATGAGACAATTAAGTCGTCTTGTGGTTCCAAGGGTCGCCAAACCTCATCTGGTGCAAAGATTCCTAAAACAAAGGTTGAGAGAAGCACTGATGGAACGCCTCAATCGAAGATGAAAGGTCGTGGTTCTCGTATTCCCACACAAGAATCTGCTGCCCCTACAATACCTGCACATGAAGGAATCGACTTTTATTCTTTCGTGCCCAGATTTATGGTCCGTCTTATTCAAGATTATGTTAACACGATGGCGGATGGCAACTGTGGGTACCGGTGCGTTGCTCAAGCCGTGTACGGGGATCAAGAAAGATGGTCGCAAGTGAGAGGGGAGTTGCTTATTGAGTTATACGAGCATGCTAGTGTCTACACGGTGATGTTTGGCAGTACCGGATACGTTGAGGTCATACGCAAGTGTGACTGGACCTCAGGACCTTGTCCACAAGCTTATTGGATGGACATGAGTGAAATGGGATTGGCCATTGCTACCAGATACAGTGCATTAGTGGTACTTTTGACTCAAGTAGGGAGTATGACTTACCTTCCTATGTTTGGCAGTGGTCACTTATCATGTATGATTGTTGAGACATTGCACAACGATCATTTCATGTTTGTTAATTTGGTCGCGAATAGTCCACTACCACCAATCCATCCGGCATGGGTACACCATAGAGCTAAAAACTTGAGGCACTTACTCAAAACGTACAAACCCCGACTACTCTTGTACGAACAATTAAAGTCTGGTCGGTAGTTCAATTTGTAGTTGTATCTGAAATCTAGTTGAATTTGTATTTGTATTTGAAATTTAGATCAATTTGTAGTTGTATTTGAATTCTAGTTCAATTTGAATTTGTATTTGAATTTTTAAGTCAATTTGAGTGTCTGAAATAAATTGGTTAATTAAAAAATAAATCAATTAGTGATTTCGTACTGAATTCCACGAAATGTCACTTCATATTTCATGGAAAAATCTACGAAATATGGTCTTCCATTTCGTAGAAAACTCCACGAAATATGATGTCACATTTCGTGTACGTTTACACGAAATACACGATTTTTTTCATTCTAACAGTTTCGTCCTTCGTGTTCTATAACAATAAACACTTATATTTCGTGTGAAAAGATACGAAATGGTTGAGTGGATTTCGTGTATTTATACACGAAATAGCGGGCGAATTTGGTTTTTTTTTTTAGGAAAGTTACAAATGAAATAAATCGCACTGCAAGCCGGTAAAAACCGCAATATGAATAGCATTTCAGAATTTAAATTATAAATAAATGTGCTAATTTTCTTTGGGCCACGTGGCATCATGATAACCATGGGCTTACACGCGTAAACATCATTAGCCCGCATAAAGATAAGATAAGCAAACACAATTAGCGAAGCAAAATTGAATATTTTATTAATAATTAACTAACAAATAAAACAACCGGGACAAACTACAAGTCAAACAATAAAACAAACTAACAAACACCGGCCAAGCAGGTTTGAACATTTCTACTATATTCTCATATATATCTTGTCAATTGTATTTCGAAGTATTATATTCTATATTTCTATATTTTTTTAATTATTTATTATATAAGTGTAAAACTCTTTTTTTAAAAATTGTATACACATTTCGAAAATTTTCAAAACTCTCCCACTTGACGACGTCATGCTCACATCACATAGCATCCGTTCGGGTTTTCGTCGCTGAACATTTGGTCGTTGATGTTCATGTACGTAGGTGGCGGCGGAGGAGGTCCTTGTGAGTACTGTGCCACGTAGCCCGTATTATGACCATAACCTTGATTAGGAAGGTAACCATGATTAGGAGGAGGGTGATTAAACATTTGCACACCATAGTCTTGATTGGCATAACTCTGGTTGTACATTGGCATTGCATAATGTGTCTGTGGGTTGAAACTATGGTGCTCCAACTTGTTCACTTCTACCTTCGCCGCACCATCTCCGCCCTTGCTTCCTTCTCCACCACCACCACCAGCTGCCACCGCTTTTGGTTTTGATTCCACTTCTTTCTTTTCGCCGCCGCCCTCTTTTTTCTCTCCACCACCACCACCGCCGCTTTCTTTTTCCTTTTTGTCACCACCACCACCGTCTTTCTTCGGAGGAACGATTTCGACGCTTCGTTTAAGCTTTTCTTTCAAGTAAGCTGTGAGTTCCTTCACATCCATTGTACCGGTCGCCGTGACTAAATCCTTTTCTAGATCACTTGTTACCGAATTAACCCCTAATTAATGTCAAATAAGATAATTAGGTAATAATTAATGACATAAAATTGGTTAATTAGTGAAAATTAATTAAGGGCTAACTCACCATGAATATTCTTGAATATAGTCCGCTTTATCTTATGTGCGCATCCGTCACAGTGCAGCCTGATTTTCATCACCACCGTGCTAACCGCCGGCTGAACAATCAAAACCACAAAATAATTTAATAAAAGAAATAAATTCAATAATCTCTAATTAAGTAAGTAATTAAGCTAATTAATTTACCTCTTTGGGTTTCTTCTCTTCTGCCTTCTTCTCATCTTTCTTCTCGGGTTTACTGTCATCGGCCTTTTTATCACCGCCACCTGCGGCGGCGGGGGCGGCGGCGCCGGCGTCCTTTTTGGGCTGAGGGGAGATGAGATCGACTTTCTTCTTGGTCTTGTATTCAACTCTCTCCCGCAGCCAGGCGGGGTCCACAGTGCCGGTCACAGTCAGCTTGTTTGCGTCACAGTCTGCTTTCACTTTCTCAACACCTTCACAAATTGAACCACACGCAAAACTTTTTTCAGGCCCCCACGGCTAATTTATGCTTTAAATTTTATTTTAAATAAAAAATTCCCAAATTGAAATTCACGTTTTCTTTTCACAATTGAATTGTGCTTGAAATTAAAAGGTAACGGTAAATTTAGTTGACGGAAAAAAACAACTTTGGGCCATTAATTATGGATCCGTCGGAAAATTTGTTACTTGAGATCTCCGGCAAGTCCTTGTTAGGTAGCGACCAAACCAAATCAATTTGCTTTATTTTAATCCAATTTTAATTTTTGAATTTGTGAACCGAATTGATACAACCCTAGCAAAAGGTAACCCAAAAAAAATTAAAATTAAAAATTAAAATTATTAGTACCTTCGAAATGGCTAACGGACCGTCTGACTTTTTTAGCACAACCCTCGCAATGCAAGTCCAGCTTCAACACGACGGTGACGGTTTCCTGGTTTTTGTTTCCTCCGCCGTCAGCGGCCTTTTTCTCTCCGCCCTCCGCTGCCTTCTTCTCTCCCTCTTTCTGAAAAAACACACACACACAAACACCGTCAGTTACAGATAATTTCAAAAATCTCACGAGGATTAGATTCTCAATTAGATGAAGATTAGAAGAGTAAAGCAAATCAATTACCTCACCCATTGCAATTTTTTGATTATTTTTTATTTTCTCCTGAAAATTTTAATTAGGGTATTATAGATTTACAGTGTGGAAATTGAAAAAGGAAAGTTTGGTTTGAAGAGAGTGGAAAAGGGGGCAACTGCTGTATATATAGAGAATGAGAAATTACTAAATTAGCTGAGTTTTCTATGAATTCAGTGGGGCCCACGCCCAAGCCCAAGCCCAAGCCCATCAAATAAAATCAACAAATAGAGACAGATTTTTTGTATGTATATGTTGATGATGTATGTGTATGGATGGGTATGGTTGATATGCATATGGCATGACATGATGCCTGCCGAATTGGACCGAGTTTGAAATACGGTGTCGTGTTAAATCAGCTATCGTAGTGGAATTCCTATTCTGCCCCCACACTAAATTTACCGCGTTCCGAATTTAATTTAGGTCATCTTATGCCAACTCCAATTTACAAACCTCCAAAAAACAAATAAAAATAAATAGTAATATATAATTGATGTAAGGATAATCAGAATAATACAATGATTAGGATGATTATATATATTTTTTTTTTTTGGGGTGGCCGTGTGCATTTAACTTTTCTCCTTACAAATATTGAAAATGGAATAAATTACTTTTTTTGTCGATTTGCTTTGTAGCAAAGGAACACACTATTGTCTATTCACTAATCTTCAAGTGAAAGAATTTTGATTGAGAAAGACATGTAATGCTTGATTTATGGTCCAAAAGATGTCAATATACCTACCCGAATGATAAAACCGGGGTTAATTTTTGTTACATTTTATCGAGTATATGGTGTTTAATGACTTGTTCCAATGTATTATAGCTGCGAGTTTAGAAATCGGACGTTTGGAGGACAAAACAGTAAAAAAAGAATAAAAACGAGCAAGAATTAAAAAATCGGTTGAAGTAGACTGCAAAGGGCTTTGGACGATCGTCCGGAAATTGACCTGAAAGCTCAGACAGCCGTCCGGATTTAGAAGAATAGGAGATGACGGCACGGAGTTTGAAACAACCGTCTCAATAATGACTTAATAAACATATTTCGTCCGAATAGCTAATTAACTTATTTTATCTTAACTTTTTCTATTTTGAAGTCAATAAACATATTTTATCTTATTATCACTTTTTTCTGCTAATAAAAGGTAAAGGAAAACTTGCTCCCACTAGAAGGCAAAAAAGAAAGACACATTTCTCCTTTTTCTTCATTTTTTTTATTTTTTGGTCAATATATTGAAAATATTCCAACGAATGTGTTTGGTAAACTTTTATTGAATAGTTTTCAATAATCATGTTCAATATTGAAAATCATATTTAATCGAAGTAATAATGTATGCACTGATATTTTCAAGCTGAATAATGTCGAGTTCAATTATTTTGCCACTACATGCATTAACTTGAATGCATTTACAGAACCCAAATAATTATTTCATAATTTAATTGATTATATTATATTTATCAATATGTTATCAATTAAAAATCAAAATAATACATATAATTATGATTTCAACTTACTTATTTTTCGACTATCTTACCATTGAAAGAATTGATATTTGATTTTTATTTTTTGTAATAAGTGTTTTGGTATTTGATTTTGTCAGTAGTCAATAGAAAGTTGTGTCAAAAAAAAAAAAAAAAAAAAAAAACAACAGGAGAGAGAGAGTCAATAGTCAAAATTAATAGTCAATAGTCAATGTATGTGCACTGGACAGAGGTGTGGGCCTAAACATCTAACTCCTTTTTGGGCCTCTACACATAGAGTAAAAGATACAAAATTAAATAACTTTATGTAAATGACACTTTTATAAAAACTTCAATTTCTTAAAATAATTCATACAAGGCCCTAATATCTTAATTTTACATTTACTTTATAAAATCGTTGTATAGAATTCACATTTTATCTCAGAAAATTTCGCAATCGTCCAGGATCCCAATTTCTCGTTTTGCCCAGAACCTTAATTCTACGGTTGGGCCTGCTTGGCTTTATTGCCCGTGCCCAATCCTGTGTCTCGAACTTAGGGCTTGGTCCGAATAATCGGACTACTTACTATCTATGTTTTTTCGTTGACAATTTTCTTGGATGGTAATTTATTTGCCAGGCCTGGTAATTTTAACCGACACATGTATAAATGAGTCGGTCCGTAGTTTTCAGTTTACTTAAAAGTCGGTTGATCGGGTAATATCAGTCAACTAGTCTTTTTAATAATAAAACTTTAATTGTAATTCCTATTTTCTTTACGTTGAAATAATATATAAAAGAAGTCAACCTCGAAACACAAATTTATAAACATCTACGTACAATTTTTTTTTAAAACATCTTACTATTGTAAAAAAAGATTAAAAAAATGATTAAATGGAATAGATGGTCAATAATACCATCAGTTGACTCATTGTTTACCTGACAAAGTTGGTTGTCAACCATTATTCGACTCAGAATGACAGCTGGTAATTGGTTTCAATGTTCAGTAAAATGAGATGGTAGGATCGAGTAGGTAATTGGTCGATAATTGTCCGACCCGACCCATGTCAACCGTAATATAAATAAGATATCTAAGGCAATATTTGCTAAGTGGCCATTATTCATTTTAATATTTTATCAACTCTTCTTATGTAATTAGAATATAGAGACATGTCTTCCTATATCTATATGAATATATAATTAACAAAACACGTGGTGATTGTTGGCAACAAATCTAGTTCACAAGTTCACAGCTTATTTAGACAATGGATTAAGATTGATGCTTTGTTCATTAAGGCAATAATCAATATATGTATCACCGTGTACTGTGTGTGATTTTAAATTAGCCACAAGTGCAAAGGAATTAAATCCAATATCTACCTAATTAATGTTTCCATTTATACAGATCTTTTTTTTTTTTTTTTTTTTTTGTGGCGTAGGTTTATTGAACTATATATTAGTCAAAAAAACTGCTTTTATGGCGATTTAATTGTCTTAGGCATTAGGTTGATTTATTCGATATAGACTTAGGTGATAGGCAGCAACAATTATTAATTGTCGCACATTATTTAGTAGTATTATTGCATATTTCAAGGAGCGACAATCAATTGCCACGTGGAAATAAATTGAAGCATTATTTCCCGACAATAATGTCTGTGGTGAAAGAAAAAAAAAAGGTTAGAAATAAGAATTCGAGCCCTCCATTAACCGGTAAATTGGATTATTTGTTAAATATAGTAATCGAATTTGGATTTGGAATATTGATATTAGGACGTAATTTTAAGATATTAGAAGGTACTAGAATTCTAGAAATCCACCATTGACTCGATTTGATATAAAAATATTCCACTGGTTCAATTGCCTGTACAAAGGGTTATTAATAAGAAAATGCTCTTTACGGGTTAATAACTGCTATTTACCGTTCAAAGTAAAAAACAGTTTATCTCTCTAAAACCCCTAAAATTCGATTTTCTCTCCAATTACCCCCCATTCCAAAAATTTCAGAAAAATTTTTTTTTTCCAAAAATTTCGAAATCAACCAAAATCGAGCTTGGGCTTCGATTTTTTCAGGTAATTTCAACACCTACATGTGTTATATGCAATGGGTAACTCGATTTTGCAACCAATTTCATGTTTAAAAGCCCTACAAATCGATTTGTAGGGCTTTTTAATTTTTCGGAAGTTAGAGCCAAACGCCCAAACCGGGCGTTCGATTTAATTTTTTATTTAATATTTTTTTTTTTTTTTTCTGATTTAAAAGAAATATTTTTTTCTGAATTAAAATAAGTTAGAAAATTATAATAATTTTATGTTTACAGGATGTCTAATTGGGCGAAAAAATTCGGACTGGGAAAAGGGAAAGGACTCCTGATTCGTCCTCCTGCAGATCCGGTGGAGGAGAATACTGCGGAACGGGAGGGAAGGACACATAATAGAAATGTTACCGGTTCTAAACGTCGTGGGGAACGCACTGGTGCTTTTGTACCCCCACGTACGATGATTCAGGAGGAGACAGAGACAGAGGCCGATCAGGAGATGGATGCACCCATGGATGCATATATGCAGCCGCAGGAGTACGAGTACGATCCACAACTACGCTTTCAGCAGAAGTATCAGTTTCCGGTGCCGGATTTTCCATCCGATGACGATTACGAGGATGTTCGGACTCCGACTCCGCCTCCTGTCCCGATGGGTGGTACTTTCGATGGTTCTAATCCTGTCTCGAGGTCCCGCACCGCTCCGAGAAAAAAACTTCCTTCTCGACCTTGGATGTTGACCGGTGAGACACCCGGTGGACCTAAATACGCTCACTTGATTCCAAGTTTTGGAGCACACATTGCCTACGACATTTGGGAGGAACTCTTCGTGTGTTTTAATACAGTTATAAACATCCATTCTAACATCCATCCAATCATTCTCGTGGTTCTTCACTGCACACGCGACGCTTCGATAACCACAATTACCATCCCCTTGAACGTCCGTCCACGTCACAACCTCCGGAACAAGGCAGAAATGAAGGTGTCGCATCCAAGGGGGTCGGGGAATTTGACCTATTGCGGGTCCACTCACGGTCGATGAACGAGCACGACCACGGCTAGATCTCTCAGAAGATGAACCACGCCCTCTGTTGCCTCGTGTTCGTCCTCGTCCTCGTCCTCGTCCAGACTCTTCACCTTCTCCCGGAAATAATGGAAACTCATGCCCTGACCAATCCCTCTGTGTAGAGTTCGTCCGCGGTCTACCTCTCGGGCAGGCTAGTACTGGTGGCTCATTCATTTCCATAGCCCCGGGATGCATTCGTTCGAAAATGACATCTGTCACGTCCGTGATCTCAATTTCTGACCGATCACGCAAATCATTCATTAACCCTTCTAGCCTGCCAATAGCCTGTGACCTGTGGTCGGGAACAGAACCAACACTTTCATCTAGGGAATCCCCGAATCCCGAAATAAATGTCCTCCAAAAAATGTGGACATCCTCTGCATAAAACACACCACGTCGTGCATTCATCTTTGCACGAATTTCATGTCTGCATGGGAGTCCAAGACATTTCCTCATATAACAGACGCAACCGTCTATGTCTTCATCCTTCTCATCGTCCAACATCTGCAGAGCATTATGTGTTACAATTCCACTGGACAATATTTTAAATACGGGCACGTTGATCGTATGGGCCCGAATCCTCTTTGATTTTGCAAAATCGGCTAGTATCCCGTTAAATTGATCTTTCATCATTGAGTGATACTGTGCCCAAAATGTGTCGAAGCCACCCGTCGACGATTCCAACCATCTCTTCAATGCTCTATGGTTGCTCTCCACCCTAATATGTTAAGAATATGCTATGTTCAATAAACTACATGACAGTAAGTTAAGTATATATATTTAACAACTTATAAATAAATACCTGCTTGTCGATGTATTACCCAAATGGAAAATTAGATCCGTCCATGCTTTTACAAATTTCTCTTTGTATACGAGCCAAGTGTATTGGAGATACTCAATCAAATCTGGATAATTCGCGTACTCGTCCAACAAAGCTGTGTAATTCATGGCGAAATCTTCTTCAGACACTGATTTTACCAAGGTTTGCCACGTACCAACTACAAAAGCCGTGCCGCGACGCCTACTATTGCCGAGACATCTTGAAGCACGACGCCCCACATTCATGTTAATGTGCCAAAGACATAAGATATGAGGTACGGTCGGAAATACATTCTCTAGCGCCTTTATGAGCCCTAACTCTCGATCCGTCACAATGGCACTAGGTAGAGTCTGAGGGGGGAAAAGTCTCTTCAGCTTTTGCAACACCCATGTGTAATGGTCTTCATTTTCATGGCGCAAAAATGCGACTGCTACAGTAAAATTTTTCCCGACAGGAGTAACACCAACAATCTCCAACAAAGGCAATTTGTACTGATTGGTTTTGTAAGTACTGTCAAGTAGTAATACGTACGGAAACTTACTTAACAATTCGACAGATTGAGGGTGAGCCCACATCAAATCAGTAACTGCATGTGTTGTTTCATCAGTACGGAACCACTTGTAATAGTTATGCTCCTCAAGCAACCCAATCAAATGTTGCATCACTGTACGGTCACCCCTAGATAGTCTTTTCAATTTCGCCTTCTCATTGTATATTTGTTTCGAATAAGCATCGAGACCCAAACCATTTTGTCTCAAGTTAGCCAAAATCTTCTTGGGCGGCACATGACTTTGTGACAGATCACTAATGATCTTCGCCTCCTCCTGAGACAATGCACTCATCCCATGCCCGGACTTGTATATCGGAACATGATTATGCTTCCCGTATATTACTCTGACCCCCCATCTATCATCCCATCGTAGTTCTCCGACAATATGAAAACCACAACCTATTTTTTTGCTACCGGTCCTTCTCGGACGCGCGTCTGGATTAGTTGATGGACATTCTCGTTTTTCCCCGAATAGGTCACAAGTCAAAAAAATCTTTTTTTTAGGACTACTGCTTTTTACTATTTTCACAAAAAGACCTCTTGCAACGAACCTCACCCAAACCACTACCTCATCCTTCGAGTCAAACAACTGAGTAGTGGTAAAATAATCGGTATGATCAACTTCAAATGTAGTCGTATCGTCCTGAAAAAAACATAAAA